ACGGGACTCGAAGAGCAGAGTACCTACCTAGGGGGCCAACCAGCCAACAACAGAAAAGTCGAACTATCTGACTTGGGGTCCAACCCAATGCCGACTTAACCGAGCTCTCTGGATGAAGTCAGATGGTCCAACATAATTTATCTGACATAACATCCGACATGTCAAATAATCTGACATTATGTCCGACTTACAAGCCTCGCTGGATCATGTGTCGGACTATCCGACATGTCTGCGCTCAGTGAAAGGGGCCACGTACCTGTGTACCTTTCCCTCTTTGGTTAGACTATATAAACAGTACTCCTCCATTCTAGGGTTAGCAAAGCATAAACTAAAAACTTGAGACTTGCTCAATCCATCTCCTCTTAAGAGGTTCAAGTCCTCATCACTGGGGAAGAATCCCTTGGATTCCAAGGCCTCCATCTCTCATAGAGATTTGGGGGGAAATATCTCTCAAGCTCTCCATACCTCCTAGAGATTGGGGAAGAACTACCCTTGTTTCCTTTACTTTCCAATGCTTTTTGTGGATCTAAGATGCGCCTCTTGTATTGACCTAGGATTTTAGGCTAATTGGAGTGGATCTTGTCCTATTGAGTGTTTTCCTCTTGTTTTTCCCTTATTTGCACTTGCACCCTCTCAATCCACCTTCAATTCGTGAAGACCGAACCACACTTGCCCCATATCGTTTGGTATCATGAGCAATGTTGCCACGAATTGGAACCCCACCCCCTCATATTTATAGCCTAATTTGGTTTATTCTTCCCAATTACAAAAATCCCCATAAAAATATCCTCACCCAATTTCGAGCAATTTGTTGTTTCCGGTGATGTTTTGGTTGGACTTGATCCATGGATCCGTGTTGTGCGAGTCAATCTACCTTTGATTTGTGTTTCCCTAGCCAATTCTCCCCCAAAATTTTCCTTTTCTCCCTCCAATTTCGAGTTCTTCCTCGATCTGAGCAGTAGCTTCCTGGACAAAGTCAGATTATCCGACTTGTCGAAACATTCCGACTTCATGTCCGGCTTCACCCAGGAGCGCACGGTGACGGCTACAACGAGTGGAAGGCATCTTCGACGGCTTCAGACCAAGGGCTTCTTCGACAAGCACAAGTACCCCTACACCGCCCCATCTACCACCAAGCTCGCCTATGACGGCGATCGATCCATCCTGTTGACACCTTTAAAGGAAGCAAGGTCGGTCCCCTCCAAGTTTATAACAGTAGAGGTGTCGACGAGGTATATCATTTCATCACACAACTTTGCCTTCCTTGCCACTACCCTTGTGAGCCATTCCATTTTTTGCAATTACCTTGAACCTACCGAGACTAGCTTATCGAGTATTGTCAGGTATCGCTCACGTGCCTTACACAACTTTTTTATCTCATTGATCATTTGGTATCTTGTGAGGTGTGTTTTCTATCCTCGCATTATCTTGATGGCAATGTTCTTGTAGTGTTGATCTTGGCTCAAAGAATAAAGGCAAAAGGAAGAAAAGTATCACAAAAAAGAGAAAGAAGAAGCTTGTTAGCAAAAGGTGCAAAGAGCAATAGAAATACAAGTGCCAAGGATACTCGTAGGAAAACATCAAGTTTTGGCAGTAGCAGAGTAGTCAAGTGGTCGAACTATTGCCCTCTACGTGCAATCAAGCTAGCGTCTCTCCTCAAGTTTGTGCACCATGAGCTTAGTCTTCTTTGGGACAATTTTGTATTGCTCATTTTCTTGGTTGCACAAGCCTCAATATCTTTGCACGTGCGTATTTTTCTTTTGCCTCTCTATCCTCATTTGTGATATCCAACCATACAACAAGATAGCGGATTTCCAACCATACAACACCTTACACAAGTTGGTTCATCAAGAAAGCAAGGTGAAACATCAAGTTCAAGATGACATCAAGTACTCCAGGTGCTCCCCCTACCCATCAAGAAACTTCATCACCAACTCTCAAGCTTCTACAAGTGCGGAATCTTATATTCGAGCTACACCCACTACTGGTGGTCCATCAAGCTCAAGGCCGTTGGCAACTACATCAAGTCGCTCTCCTCCAAGTACTATCAAGCCAAGTGCTCCCCCAAATGCAATATTCCAAGGGACTCCACCGGCAAGACAAGCCAAATCCAATGCTTTACATGCAAAGGAGTGGTCACAAGACCTATGAGTGCCCTACAAGAGGCACTATGATCCTCAATGTCGATGGAGAGTACAAATCTTATAGTGAAGGAGAATTGGAACCTTTGGATCATGTTGCTCCACACCGACAAGTCAATTAAGCTAAAGATGATCAAGTCTTTTATGACAACGACTCAACTCCCACAAGAGTTGTCTCCAAGATCCCGACACTTCAACAACAAAATGACGATGATCAGAGATGCCATATCTTCCACATCAAATAAGGAATCCAAGGAAGATCCATCAAGGACATCATTGATGGTGGTAGTTGGCACAATTTGTGCAAGTGAATAATTATGCTCCAAGTTGCATCTTACAAAGAAGTGCCATCCTCATCCATACAAGGTCCAATGGCTTAGTGACTCCGACACTATCAAAGCGAAACACACGGTTGAAATCTCCCTCAAGGTTGGAGCATATTAAGATACCTTGGAACGTGACGTGGTCCCAATGACCGTTTGCCATCTTCCATTGGGCCGCCCTTGGCAATTCGACATTATAGTTTCAAACGGAAGGGCAAAAAATGTGTGCTTCATCCCATGATCAAGAAGAGACTAGTAAGGGAGTGACCCACCAGAAAGTTATATAATCATTAGCTGGTTATCCCTAGGCGGGTCTGGCCAGGTCAAGGATATGGACGCCATTTGCTCTTCTCTAAAGCCTTCTCAAGGCATTTGTATGATTTAGCTGTCAAAGGTATATTTGCTTCTGTTATATGAGTTATATCCTGGTCGTATGACCCTTGCATGGTATTCATTTATTAATTTGACTCTCCGGAGTTGTATATGCATGTTCTTGCGGATCTGTATTGGAATTATGTTGTCATACTTGCTTTCCACCCACATGGCGTGCACGTTGCTGTTTGAAGGTGGTGTCTTAGGATCGATATTATGCTGTTTGAAGGTGGTGTCTTAGGATCGATATTATACAGATGTTGGCGGATGCACTAGATCTGCATATTGCGGGTCCCGGGGCGCTACACAGGGCCGCTGCCCTGGCATACGTCTAGCCTCCACTCTTTACACAGCTCCCCTTCACAGTCCTCTGGGGCCACTGTAGGGATGTAAGTGGCAAATAAATGGCGTCCGCAATCCCGTTTAGTTAGTTTTTGCTAGCTTGATAGTTCATTTTCCTCAAACAAACTTTAAACCTTTTTGAACTATCATATCATAAGTGGACTTTAAACGGGACCCGGTTGACATCCCTAGGCCACTGCCCCGCCATACTCCACCTGCAAGTAGGCCACGCAACCGCATAGCCGCATGACCTGACTGCCTCGTAACCCAAGCCACACCAGACAATTGCCAGCGGCCCCCAATGGCCATCCCGACAGACACGCCAAATCAACTCCAGGAGTCACACCAGCCAAGTCGACACAGACCACCACTCAATCAGCATCAAGCCATTGATCGTCTTCGTACTGTCACTATCTCCATTGTCCCGACATTCGATCCCACTGCTGCGGAAGCACCGCACCATCTCCCGGGCCCACCGCCCAAGCATCGAACACCCAAATCCACTCCTGGCCTGAACCACTCAAGCGCATGCCTCACTTCCAGCAGCATCTAATCATTCATATTCAAAGCAGCAAACTTATGTCCTTTATTTTACCTTTTTGTATCTCCGCGGTGCACCTAAGATATACCTCACATCCTCAATTTCTCATTTTATGTTATCGGTAAGTCCTCCATCAAAGAGTGGCAGCAAACTTATGTTCTTTATTTTACCATTTCGTATCTCTGGAGTGCACCTAAGATATACCGCAACATTCTCAGATTCTCATTTTATGTTAGCGATAAGTCCTCCACCGAAGGGTGGCAGAGTTGCTGCATGCACAAACATGAACAGTTTTAAGCTGGAAACGTCTACCAAGTGGAAAATGTGCCTCATTGTCAGAACATGCTGAACTATAACACAATCTTTCGCTTCGCATCTTTTGGCAGCTAGATGAGGAAAAAGAAAAAAATATCGTATGTCAGATTTGTTTGGCTACTTCTAGATGCTTCCACTCTAGTGTAGTATTTCTTTTCTTTTCTACCCTACCTACAGTAGCTATGAATAGAATGGTGAATCTTAAATAATGTTTTTCTAGAGTGTTCCAGCTATAAGTAGAAGTATGTAAAGGCTTCCCAAAGCCCTATAAATAGGGGTCCTCACCTCTACTTTGTAACCAGACTATGTACCCCACTACCTATAATAGAACTTGGTATTTTTATCTAAGATCTTGGAGTAGATCTTGTGCTCTAGGAGTTCCGAATTGAACTCCAGCTGCCATATTGGCCTACATTCGCCTCTAGAGCGATATCTAGTGCAGCACGTTGAAGTAGTTCCTTCAACTCTTGTGTTGTACACTTTGTAGCAGCAAGGTGGAGTTGCTCCTCCACAACCCTGTGCTGCTTCACAAACAAAAGCCCTATATTACAGATTGCGATCATCACCACATTATTAGATAATTTAGACTGAACAACCTAACTCTGAATGCTATCACGCAGCAGCAGTAGGGGCACCCACTCACTGTGGCTACACGATCACGGAGAATAATGATCAGAAGTGTTACCAACGAAACAATTTAAAACATTGACAAACATAAACAAGTGTACTGGAATCTAAATTTCTACATTTCCAAACTCTGCTACTCTTCCATTTGGCCAGATGTTAGGCTCAGGACACAACTTAACCAATTTGATGCATTAAAAATGACAGATTGCTTCAAAGGATTACAAAAACATCAACAGGTGTAGTGCAAGAGAATGTCCTTATATCAGTGAAGCGAAAAGGATATCCCTTTCTTCGACAATGATTAAACCATACATAAGAAATCTAATTAAAAAGACTAACCTGTTTGGCATTGCATTGTAGTTAGAAGAAGTGCCGTTGTACATCAAAGGTTCTGTTGGGTGTGGCTCGGTCTTATTTCCAATGAGCTCTATCTTCATTGGCTTCCCATCAAGCAGAACACCATTATATCTCTCAATAGCATCCAAAGCATCTACTTTTCTTGCAAAGACAACTTCCGCACTTCCCTAACAAGAAAAGAGTCAAGAAAGATCTGTGGTGTAGAAACTACAGATGATATATGATACTTGGAGAAGACATTGCTCAACAATCTACCTGAGACTTCCCATCCTTATCGTAGTTAACAGAATAACGTTTGAGCTCACCAATCTCTGAAAAGAGTTCCTGACAAGATAAAGAAAAAACAAAGCCCATCGGCTACAATCACATAACAATTAAATTATGTGCTTAAAACAAATGTAGAGTTACGTGTTGTTCGCTTTGGTCACAAATTCATAATACTTCTTTACTTCTCATGATGAGTAATTTCACTTTGGGCCATGTATTATGGGACTTGGGTTACTTTGAAGAACAAAATAAATAATAAATAAATTGGAAGTATGATATTTGTATAAATATATCACAAATTCACAATGACCATGTTTAGAATGGACATTATCGCACTGACAACTAATCAGGCCTATGTGGTCACACCGAACATGGTTCAATGCTACATAATGGTACAAGTATGCATGGTTCAAAGTGCAACGATTTCATTAAGTGGTTCAGAGTGACTCAACTTTTATAACATCCATGTTGCAGTTGGGCCCATAGTTTTTATCACAATATAAACATGCCATGCCATGGTAAAACTCGCAAAAATATAATTGTACATTTGTGATCAATCTGTTTGTACAATCTTTGTGTAACCCACTCTATATATTCAAATATACAGTTTTACTATTCTACAACTTCCATAACCTGACTGTAGAGGCAGTACAAAAGATCGAGTCAAGGCAGGACACATTGTTATTGGAAGGCAGTGCAAAACTAGCTGTAGAATAAGTATTATGCAACCGGTTGCAGAATAGTAATAATCTATTTTAAATATATTATTTATCAAAGACTGGAAAGCAAGATCATATTCTTCCGTGGTGATCAGAACTCGTTTGGAGGGAGTACATGAGCTCAATCTGTCACATGGAATTATGAAATCTGTGGACCAATAATCATGGAGATTAAGAGATGGTCTCTCAAGGAACACTTCACACTAAAATTATTAACAGATGGTCAAGACCTGAACTATTCCAACACTGAAAATTTGTATGAAATTCAGAGAACAAGCAGGATTAAGCCGCTTAGATCTGGGTTTCTATTACATGGAAAGGAAGAAGGTAGGTACAGCACGCCACAGGCGGCTAGGGTTTAACCCAATTACAAAAGCATAACCGAAAATGAACGAGGAGAGGGCTTTATAGCCACTACAGTGCGGGAGCAAGTGAAAAGTAGAGCAACAGGAATTAAAGCAAGTGGGCCATTGTCGGACGATCAACAGCGATACCAAGGGCTTGGTGCTTCGGATGGTCGATCAACGGTTAAGGAAGCAGCCCATTGGCGAAGCAGTGTCGTGCGCCATCAGCCGATGGATCAAAGATCAACGTGAAAAACAAGCTACCAAGCAAGGGAACAATAGAAGTGGATATCTTTAGTTAACTTCAGAACAGGGCCTGACAATTCGAATAGAAGTGGATATCTTCAGTTAACTTCAGAACAGGGCCTGACAATTGCCCCCAGCTGAGACAGTACTTGTCCTCAAGGCTGGAAAGATGGAAAAACCTTCTGGACAAACGCCGAATCTTCCCATGTTGCTGCTTCCACCGGTAGATTGGCCCATTTGATCAGCCAGCGAACAACTGGGATGCTGATTGCAACCTGTGGCCTGCGAATGAGCTTCCTCTCTAGCACAGCTTCAGGCTCCATCTGTATTACGCCATCAACATTCACTAATGGGACATGAGGAGAGGGAATGACCTGAGGTCCAAGGTGTGTCTTGAGCTGGCTGACATGGAATGTGGGGTGCAGCTGACACCCTTCTGGTAGGAGCAGTTTGTATGTGGTATTCCCAATTTGTTCAATTACTCTGAAAGGCCCATAAAACTTGAGTGTAATTTCACATGCTTATGTAAACTCAGTGATGTGTGTCTATAGGGCTGCGGCTTGAGATATGCCACATCACAAGTTTGAAAAGATTTGTCTTAACTTTTTCTATCAGCATAACACTTCATTCTTTGTTGTGCCTTTAGTAAGTTGCCCTTTATGATTTCTTAGGCTGCTTGTCTGCTCTGAAGCAATGTGTCACTTCACATATAGAATCAAGAAGAGCAGATTCAGCAACCATAGGAGGAGACAATCCATAAAGAGCTTGGGATGGTGTGATTTCAGAGAAGTATGGAAGGTGGTGTTGTAACGCCCCGAGACCGATGCGCCACATGTCTTCCAGTTATTCGCCATCGTTGCCATGTCATTCGCTTGCGTGTTGCACTTTGCCATGTCATCATGTGCATTTCATCTGCATGTTTTCAAAACTTGCATTCGTTCGGGTCTCCCAGTTCTATCCATTGTCCGTTCTGAGCCGAGACACACTCGCCCGCGCCCGCGGCACCTCCGAAATATTATTTTATAAGTGGCACAAAAATGTTCTCGGAATGGGATGAAACTTGGCGTGCGGTCTTATTATAGTCTAGGTAGACCGCCTGTCAAATTTCGTTGCATTCGGAGTCCGTTTGATAGCCCAACCGTTAAACATATAGCCGCAATATAGCCGGTCAAACGTCGGACGTTTTCGGTCTCCGGAAACTGCCGCCGGGCATCTCTCTCTCCTCTCTTCTCAGCCCATCTCTCTCTAACACAGCCCACTAGCCCCTCACCTAGTCCCCCTATGTCCGGAGCCGCACGATCGCGATCGTATGGTCCGAAACCCCCCCCCCAAAAAAAACCCCTAAACCTAGCCCCCCTGCCTATTTAAACA